AAAAATGATTTTTTATTTCAGGAAAGCAAAAATTCTGGCCAAAAAAGGAGAAAATTCTATGTGAAAATGACTGTTATATACCAAAAATAACGAAACTACCTGTCTGCACAAATAACGAGAAAATCCCATATTTGTGATTTTACTTACTGAAATACTCCGGTGCGTCGAGCGTAACTACTCCAAACCCTTTGAAAATTAGTAACATAATCCTAGATAGTACCTATTACCTGGTCGATTATGTGCAGCAAATGCTACGTGTACTAACAAAATTTCAATTTGATGAAGCCGCTTACTTAAAAGCATCAAGATGAACGGCATTTGGACTTCTGTATTCGTCGGCCGGATTTTTCGAAAAACCAATTTCTTTGAGCATAATGTACCCGTATATTGCAGCTCTTGCTTCCAAAAAAGGCCTAAACGACCAGTGGTTAAGCTAAACATAACCAGAAAAATAATAAGATTTACACTGAAAAGAGAGTTTCAAACCAATCGAATGAATCGCCGTTGTAAGTGACGAAAATGGAAGGACGCAATCGAAGAATATGATCAAAGAAATATTTGATAACAGCTTCCTCGGTGGGCAAATTTATCACTCGGAACATGCCCTGAAATGCGCTCATGGCAGCGAGCTATGACGTCCAAAGCAATTCTAGAGCTACTCGGGCCACGCCTTTTCATTTTTCTTAAGCAAACGAACAAATAAGCTTTAAAATAAATCGCAGAAGAAACGAGATGTATTAAAGTCTTACTACTTTTTTATCTGATTTAAAATCTAATAAAACTTCCAAAATATTCAGCACCGAGCTTGAGCCAAATATAATTTGAGTGTGTTAAAAGAGACCGTTGAGCAGTACCCACACAAAAAAAAGTATGAACCTGACACGATTTGAGCCTATCAAAACAGACTGCTGAATGGCACTCACCCACGTGACATTAAGCGAGTGCTGGGATGGATGATAATGAAAAGTCACGTACGCTGGCAGGTACACGTTAGACTACGAGGATTTGGAAAGCTTAGAACTGAACAAAATGAAGGATATGCAATAATAATAATAATAATAACAATAATAATAATAATAATAATAATAGCAACAATAACAATGATAATGGCAACAACAACAATAATAACAATGATAATAATAACAATAATAATAACAACAACAATAATAATAAAAGCTACGCGAAAAGCAAAAAAAGAATAAGTGGCAGTTATTCAAAAGTAGCACTGACAGTAAAAGTTTCACTGTTCTGGTTTTTAAAACAAACCTTATATTCCGGTTTTGGTGTGTACTCGAAATTGTCAATGTCTGCGGAAACAATGTGCCGATTGATGATCAGGAAGCCAATTCCATTCACCATATATGAGATCATCATAATTTCATCGAACGAGCTATCCGGGAACTTCAACGGCATTTTCGTCACTTCTATATCATAAGCCAGAATAACCGGTTCCGGTGGATCAATGAGTGTTGGATGCCGTTTTATTGCCGGTTTTCGGTCCAAATCTCGGCCAGTTACGGAGTACCAAACACCAACAAATATTTCCAAATCAATGCATACTCGCATGTGATACAGCAAATCGTGCTCCCTGAAAAAAAGAAAAAAAAAATGCGTTGAACTTCATTTTTCAACAAAAAGTTCCAATGCTACCCCTCAACGGTAGGAAGATAGCTCATCGTGATCAAGAAGTGGCAACTTTTGACATCAGATGACGATGCTCATCACATGAT